AAACTGGATACGTAAAATTACCGACCGATTTTTGCACAATCGCTGATTCGCAAGATACTCTAATTAAACAAATATTTCCCGATTCACACTCACAGTACGTAAATCATGAGTGGCTTGCAGAAAGAGCAATTTTAGCGGCAAAAAATGTAGACGTTGACAGTTTAAATCAAAAGATACAAATGTTGTTGCCAGGGAACTGTATCATATAAATCTATTGATACAGTTTGCGACGACAGCGAAGCCATACATTTTCAAAAAGAGTTTTTGAACTCACTGGATTCGCAAGGCATGCCAACGCATAATTTAAAATTAAAGGTTGGATTGTGAGGTAACCCTCACAAGGGCCCCCTTTCCCCCCCCACCGTATGTAAATATTAGTTAGGCAAAGCTATAAGATAGGAGTTAGGGACTTAGGTTAAGGAGTTAGTAAGACCCATGAAGGGCACCTGTTTTAAGTTAGTTTTAAGGCCCATGAAGGGCATTCCTTTTCCTTAGTTAGACCTACGGGCGAGCACCCGTACATACGTTGCCCGGCGGGCGCACTCGCCACACCGCCCCGGCAACATCGCCGCTAACACCTGCCCCATCCCCGGGCACACCAGCAACACCCATCGGCAACATTGCCGACATCATCGCCAGCAACACACCCATCGGCAACATTGCCGACATCATCGCCAGCAACACGCTCCGGCATCAATGCCGACACAACGCCAGCAACACCACCGGGACCATCACCGGCAACATCGCCAGCAACACCACCGGGAACACCACCGGGATCATCACCGGCAACATTGCCGACACCATCTCTCCAAACTTACGCTCTCGGCAGCCGACAACCGGCAGAGCCGACGGCCGAACCAGGAGAGCCACGCACGAGAGGAGAGGAGCAGGATCGCGCAGAGAGACGCGGGTGCAGGGAAGCTGCAGAGAAAGCAGGACGACGACAACTGCACGGAGGCAGCGTAAGGCCCGCTACCGCGGTCGGCAGCAGCAGCGAGAGCTTCGAACAGCATCCGCTGTTCGCCGATCGCGAGTCGCTTTTCAGCTGGAGAAGGAGTAAGAAGTGAAATTCGGAACGAGCAAGACGCAAACGTGGAATAGCAATACCAAGCGACCAGAGCACGTGGACATGGAGTCCGAGGAGTAAACGGGTGAGCCGGCAGTGGGCCATCCCTACGGGGTGGCCAGGATGTGCGCGTAGTGTAGTAGGGACAGTTGGGTTTGGCATATATTATAATAAACTACAAAAGAACATAAACTACAATCGGCTTAAAGTTATTCTCAGTAAGGGCGGTCTCCGGGTGACGGAGCCGCCCCTTTCTCCCCATATCCTTCCCCCCCTCGTATTTAGGAGCACCGGCCACCGGATGACGGGGCCGGCTAACCGATTCCCGGGTGACGGGATCGGCCGCTCACTACCTCCCTCTCCTTGGAGCACCAGCAACCGGTTGACGGGGCTGGCAAGCCGATTCCCGGGTGACGGGATCGGCCGCTCATAACCCTCCACCCCCTAGTAGGGCTCCGGCACCTGGTTGACGGGGCCGGACAGCCGACTCCCGGTTGACGGGATCGGTCGCCCTTGGCCTGCCCAGGTCCGCTGGTCGCTTGGTTGACGGGCCGACGGCGTGATCAAGGCACGCAGACAACCCCGATTTTCCCCCTCGAAACACACACCTAATTAGGAAACCCGCCTCCTTTTCCTGCCTGTCTCCGTAAATAATAAATATTTCTGTAGGGGACCCTGGATAGACTGAGTATTTATCCTGGCCCCTGATTAGCATCCTTACAGATGGCGCCCGAGCAGGGACTAGGCAGGATAATGGAAGGATATTTTCATCCTTCGTGGCGTAAAGAACCACCAGAAGAAAAATCAGGTCGAAATTAGGTCAAAATTTGAGGTTAGGGACGAAAGCTAGGGAAGCACGTTTTTTTTTCAACGAAAGAGGAATAGGGAAAAAGTAACTGCGAGGAGAGAAACTACGAGAGAGGGAAAAGTCGTCGCACACGACTTAAAACAAACGCAAGCAAGTACAGTCATACGAAAGAGGAAAAATGTCGTCGCACACGACACGAAATAAAGGCAAGCTAGTACACACACACACGAGCACGTAGACGCTCAGCCATACGAGAGAGAACAGAAGGAGAAATAGAGAAAAGAGAGCCGCCAGACTTAAGCCACGTGGACGCCGCAGCCGGCAACCACGAGATTAGAAAAATTTAGTTCCCTTACGCACTACTGGTGTAATATGCTCACATATCGGGTACCCACTGTACCCTTTATATATTACATAAATACAAAGTAGCAGTTCCCTAAAAACCAAATGTTGCCAGCATTTCAAGTGCGGAGTTTGTTAACCCACACAAGAATGCAATGGGCAGCCAAAGTGCTGAGTCGGCATGTCTGGCATGCGCGACCGAATTATGATATGCCAGCGTAAAACACTCTCTCACTCAACGGCTTGCGCAACTTCTGTTGGGCAGCCTGATATGTATATGAGCGCGGACTGCTCCGCTGCCGGCGTCACCGACGGCGTAGCTGCGCAGTCCCGAGTTTGACGAATGCTAACTCAAAATAAGAGAGCATTGAAGATATACGGCTGAGACCAGAAGGTCAGGCTTAATTTTGTTTAGTTAATAAAGACCTAATTTTGTTTAATCAATAAATCCGCAAACTATAAATGGCTTTATTTACTTGGGAATAAATCTGCATTTCTACATGGCGACCGTGACATAGAAATTGCAATCTTCGCATTGAAAGTAAAAGACAAAAGACAAAAAGTGATGTGAATTTTTTTTTAAAACATATAAAAGCTGCAAATCCAAAACAGCTAACAAATAATATTCAATACAAAGGAAAAATTAAAACAAAAAAATCAGCCTGTGCGATGACCAGCACCGGCGCCGCCCGAGTCCAAAGGGCCGAAAAACACACAAAATATACATAAAAAAAAAAATATGTACATACAAAAATTAAAATCATCAGTGAAATTACCAACAAAAACCCAGGAGGAATAAACAAGAAGCAGAACGAGAAAAAGTGTGGAAGGAATGACAAATCCTTCTACGCCAACGTAGGAAAGTAAAGTGTGGTAGGCAAACCGCCGACTACACCAACGCAGGAACGTTGTTAGAAACAAAAAGTGTGGAAGGAATGACAAATCCTTCTACGCCAACGTAGGAAAGTAAAGTGTGGTAGGCAAACCGCCGACTACACCAACGCAGGAACGTTGTTAGAAACAAAAAGTGTGGAAGGAATGACAAATCCTTCTACGCCAACGTAGGAAAGTAAAGTGTGGTAGGCAAACCGCCGACTACACCAACGCAGGAACGTTGTTAGAAACAAAAAGTGTGGAAGGAATGACAAATCCTTCTACGCCAACGTAGGAACGTATGAGTGCGGAAGGCAATCCGCCCTCTGCACCCTCGTGGGAGACACCTGCACCTGTTGTGCAAAGGGACGCGCCAACTCTAGAAGAGGCCCTCGAGTTGTGTCCCAACGATGGACCACGCCCCCTCACAATAGCTGAGTACAGGGCACGCCAACAGAAGTCAACGCAGGAAAAAAGGACCCGAGGCGGCAAGAAAACTAAGCTCCTCCGACAATTGCATTTGGAAAAAGATTTAATAAAGCTAGCGAGGACACCAGAGGAAAGGAAAACCCACGAGGAAAACTACAAAACCATACAAAAACAACTTCGCTCTGATGCGAAGAAACGCAACAAAGGCAAAGGCAAAGCCTGAGTTGCCTTTAGTTTAAGTAAAATAAAACCACAGCGGGCTGCGCGAAAGTGCTAGCTGTAAAACTTCTAAACACTAACCACTGTTAAGCTATATACTAACAACATATAACTGATATTGATTTATATAGAGCAAAATATTGTAAATCAGTTATATGAAAACTAACACAAAAATTTTTTTCTCACTCTGAATATCGAAGCGAAATTTATGCGATTATGTCAGCAGATATTTTTTTTCTACATTTTATTACATTTATTTGATTAATTAAACTTGAATTCCTAAATTCTTGTTATAAATACAAAATTTCTTTTGTTGACTTTATTTTGATCAGTTTTTTTTAATGGCCCCTTAAATCAAATAGAAAGCTAGACCGGGATATCAAGAAAAGTAATACTTACATATATACAATTGAATGAATGAATAACAATAAAATAAATAAATTCTCAACAGAAAATTTTAGTAATACCTACAAATTAGTAGTATATCCACCCAAAATGGGAGTTGTAGATGTTAAGTCAGTGGACTCCACTGCTAACGTTATTAACAAAGTAGAATCTAACAACATTGATCTATATTGGGTGCATATACTGTTAATAATAATAGTTGTCATAATGTGCGCAAATTTTTTTTACAAAATATACAAGTTGCACAATAAATGCTTAAAAAAGAAGTATTTAAGCAGAGCAAACGATCTAGATAAGATCTAAAAAAGGGCTAGAGTGTTAAATTCCATATCAAGTCATTGAATGATTGATTGTCTATCCTCAAAATGTTAATATCCAAGAGAGTATTCAGAAAGTTTACTTTTCGGACGTTCTGTTCACCTAATAATAATCAAAATGGCACAAACAAATATTGACTTCATTAACACTGCATCAAAGCTTATACCAGTTTTCGATGGTAAAGCAGAAAATTTAACTAGTTTCATTGATGCATTAAATATAATAGACTCAATAAAAGGCGAACACGAAAACCTAGCTGTCTCTATAATAAAGACAAAGCTAAAGGGTGTAGCCAGGAATCTTATCGGAAACGAAACAACAATAAATGAAGTAATTGCCAAATTAAAAAGTAACGTCAAGGGCGAGACTGTAGAAGTATTGTCAGCAAAGCTGATGAATCTACAGCAACGCAATAAAACTGCCAATCAATATACATCAGAGGTTGAGCAGATGACGAAGGCTTTAGAAAGTGCGTACATAACAGACGGCTTAACACTAGAGCTGGCCAGAAGTTATTCCACACAGCAAGCAGTAAAAGCAATGACCAAAAACTGCACGATTGATAAGGTCAAACTTATAATGCAAGCCGGCAATTCCAACACTATGAATGACGCCGTTTCAAAATTCGTAAACAGTTGCACAGATGCAACTGGACAACCAAACTCGGTCCTGTTCTATAATAACTATACACAGCGCGGCGGATACCGCGGACGCGGAAATTATAGAGGTAATTTCCGTGGTCGTAGTAACAATTATAGTTACTACAACAATAATAATAATCGCGGCAACTACAGAGGAAACTCAAGGGGCCGTGGCAACTCGAACAGAGGCTACAATAACAACAATACAAATAATGTAAGAGTAGCCAATGAGAGTTCGGGAAACTCTCAAGCCCCTTTAAATACTCAACAGTAGAAAATGTAACAGTTCATACCATTAATCTCAGCCAAAATATATTTGTCTCATTCACCCATGTGGCTACTGGAAAAGAACTTGTCTTTTTGGTAGACACAGGTGCCGAAATTTCTATAGTAAAAGAAAATTCCGATATATTTCAAAACATACAATATAATAACATAATAGATATACGGGGAATAAACCAAGAGATTACTAAATGCAAAGGTTTAACATCAATTGAAATACAGACTACGAAATACATAATTCCACACGATTTTCATATCGTAGACTTACACCTAGCCGTCCCTTGTGATGGCATATTAGGAACTGACTTCATTAAAAAATACAACTGTCAACTAGACTTTCAGCCATCTGAGGATTGGCTTATAATAAGAGCAAATAATTTGAAATTTCCAATTTACGTTTCAATAGCATACAGTTCTGGCAATAACTCATTTCTTTTGCCAGCAAGATCACAAGTCATTAGAAAAATAAAATTAAATTCAAAAGAGAACAGTGTATTAATTCCAACTCAAGAAATTGAGCAAGGAATTTATGTAGCAAGTACCATAGCTACAACAGAAAATGCCTTCATAAGACTACTGAATACAACAGATGTAGATAAAGTGGTCAGTGCGAAAAATTTAGCATATGAATCACTTTTGAACTACGAGGTGGTCGAAGGAAACAAAGAAACTAGAGAACAGTCTGTATTATCTCAATTGTCAAAAAATTCCCCCCCACAATTCAAATCACAACTTTCAAACTTATGTAAAAAATATAACGACATATTCGGATTAGAAACCGAACCAATCAGCACGAATAATTTCTACAAACAAAAACTGAGATTAAAAGATGATGAACCCGTATACATAAAAAATTATAGAAGTCCACATAGTCAGGTGAACGAAATCTAGAAGCAAGTCGGAAAATTAATCACCGACGGGATTGTCGAATCCTCTGTATCTGAATATAATAGCCCATTATTACTTGTTCCTAAAAAATCAACTCCAGGTTCCGAAGAAAAGAAGTGGCGACTAGTAATTGACTATCGTCAGATTAATAAAAAATTACTGTCCGATAAATTTCCACTCCCTAGAATTGATGATATTTTAGATCAACTAGGTCGAGCAAAATACTTTTCATGTCTTGATTTAATGTCAGGATTTCACCAAATAGAACTAGAAAAAGGCTCAAGAGATATAACTTCATTTTCAACGAGCAATGGCTCGTATCGCTTCACGCGATTACCTTTTGGTTTAAAAATAGCGCCAAATTCATTTCAGAGAATGATAACTATTGCATTCTCTGGACTTGAACCTTCACAAGCATTCCTTTATATGGATGACTTAATAGTTATAGGTTGCTCCGAAAAACATATGCTTAAAAACTTAACAGACGTTTTTGAGAAATGTAGGGAACACAACCTAAAGTTACATCCACAAAAATGTTCATTCTTTATGCATGAGGTGACTTTTCTAGGTCATAAGTGCACAGATAAAGGAATACTTCCAGACGACAAGAAATATGACGTCATACTGAACTATCCAGCCCCACACGATGCAGACAGCGCAAGACGTTTTGTAGCATTCTGCAATTACTACAGGCGATTCATAAAAAATTTCGCCGACTATTCACGGCACATAACACGATTATGTAAAAAGAATGTTCCTTTTGAATGGACAGCTGAATGCCAAAACGCGTTCGAATACTTAAAAACCAAACTCATGGAACCAACCTTGCTACAATATCCCGATTTTAGTAAAGAATTTTGTATAATTACGGATGCTAGTAAGCAAGCATGTGGAGCGGTTTTAACTCAAAACCATAACGGACTCCAACTTCTAATTGCATATGCATCAAGAGCCTTTACCAAGGGAGAAAGTAATAAGTGTACTACCGAGCAGGAACTAGCTGCAATACACTGGGCAATATACATTTTCGACCATATATTTATGGCAAACATTTCACTATCAAAACAGATCACAGACCTTTAACATACTTGTTCTCAATGACTAACCCAAGTTCCAAACTGACACGCATGAGGCTAGAATTAGAAGAATACAACTTTACAGTTGAATATTTGAAGGGAAAAGACAATTATGTAGCCGATGCGTTATCAAGAATAACCATCAAAGAACTACAGGACATAACCAGAAATAAAGTCACTACAAGATACCAAAGTAGACAGAAATCCTGCACAGGAGAAAAAGAAATAGACTTGCCTAGGCAATCTAAAGAAAAAGCTTCAAAGCCCAACGTTTACGGAGTCATAAACAATGACGAAGTACGTAAAGTAGTGACCTTGCAAGTAAAAAATACGCTATGTCTTTTTAAACATGGAAAAAAAGTTACAGAAAGATATGATGTTAGCGATTTATATACCAATGGAGTCCTTGACTTAGGTCAGTTTTTCCAAAGGCTTGAAACGCAAGCCGGTATACATAAAATCAGCCAACTCAAAGTGTCACCGTGGGAAAATATCTTTGAACATGTTTCATTAGATAATTTCAAGAAAATGGGCAATAAAACATTAAAATCATTAAGAGTAGCGCTACTCAACCCGGTGACCAAAATAAATTCTGAAAAAGAAAAAGAAGCTATAATGTCTACATACCATGATGAACCAATTCAAGGAGGTCATACTGGCATTACCAAAACTTTGGCCAAAGTCAAAAGACATTACTTTTGGAAAGGTATGACTCGATATATTAAAGAGTACATACATTCAGGGGACCCTGGATAGACTGAGTATTTATCCTGGCCCGTGATTAGCATCCTTACAGATGGCGCCCGAGCAGGGACTAGGCAGGATAATGGAAGGATATTTTCATCCTTCGTGGCGTAAAGAACCACCAGAAGAAAAATCAGGTCGAAATTAGGTCAAAATTTGAGGTTAGGGACGAAAGCTAGGGAAACACGTTTTTGTTCAACGAAAGAGGAATAGGGAAAAAGTAACTGCGAGGAGAGAAACTACGAGAGAGGGAAAAGTCGTCGCACACGACTTAAAACAAACGCAAGCAAGTACAGTCATACGAGAGAGGAAAAATGTCGTCGCACACGACACGAAATAAAGGCAAGCTAGTACACACACACACGAGCACGTAGACGCTCAGCCATACGAGAGAGAACAGAAGGAGAAATAGAGAAAAGAGAGCCGCCAGACTTAAGCCACGTGGACGCCGCAGCCGGCAACCACGAGATTAGAAAAATTTAGTTCCCTTACGCACTACTGGTCCCTTACCAAACGGGACGCCCGACGCCGGCAAAGCCGAGAAGTATTTAGGTCACCAGCCGACACACACAGAGGACAGTCAATCAACAGAGCCACAGGAAGACAGTCGATCAACAGAGCCTCAGGAAGAAACATCGATCACCAGGATCACTCAAGGACATCAAGGGTACACATCCCCTCAAGGACCACAAGGATACACACCCCTCAAGGATAACAAGGATACACATCCTCCCAAGGACTTCAAGGATACTCAACAACTCAAGGACACACATCGCCGCTCCTGCACCCTAGCCAGGACACTCAAGGATACACAGGACTACAAGGACACACAGGACTACAAGCACAACCAGGACACACCAAGCAACATGGGAGTCTCTTGGATCTCATACAGGAAGAAGCACGAGCTCGAGGCTATCCTTCTCGATCTCGGCCTGGAGCAGAACGGCACGGTCGAGGAACAGCGAGCCCGACTGCACGCGTTCGCCAGGCAACCGGAGCACTCCGAGGACACACTGATCCGGCTTGGGGAGTTGGAACGCAAATACACCCATCCGGAGACATCAAACCGTCGCCGATACCACCCTACCAGGAGAAGGTACCCAGCAGCAACCACACGCTGGCAGTACCACGCAGCACTTCCCCGTCCCCAGGGACGCGAGGGAAATCAGAGGGCACCGCACGCACCAGTGCATCCCAGTCCGACGCAGGCGTCTACTCGATGGTGGTCGACAAAGCGACCAAATGGGGACTGTCTTTCGACGGCACCATCGAAGAACGAGCGGATACCTACCGGATCGACCGGAAGTATTTGTCGCACGCTATCACCGTCCTCCTGGCTGGCCGGGCGGAGAGCTGGTTCCGAACCAGCGATCTGCAGGGACGTACCTGGACCGAAGTCTGCCGGGAATTTTTGGAGTTTTTCCTGCCGCCCCGGTATTACCAACGCCTCGACGACGAGATCCGCTCTCACTTCCAGAAAGTGAACGAGCCTTTCAAGGAATACCTGGTGGACCTTCGCCTCCAGATGCGCCGCGCCGGATTCTCACCGGAGCAAGAATTGGAACGAGTCTACGAGAACATGCTGCCCGAGTATCAGATGTTCACCCGCCGCCAGGACTTCAAGACGTTGACCGAGCTTACACACCTGGTGGTCAACTACGAAGTTGCCCGCAGCCGCGGAGGCCGACCCGTCCGTGGATACCCGTCAGCAAATGCAGACGCCGAGTATCCACCCCAGAGCAGAAACGCACGACCTAGGGCGAACCCTGCTCACACACCGCAGGTGCCACGCCCTGGGAACGCGACCAACGACGCCGCCAGCCGAGGCAACGGTGGAGACTCCAACCAAGGGGCCACGCCCACCAGGTCAACCGACCCTAGCACCGCCTGCCGAAACTGCGGCCAGGCTGGTCACTACGCCACGGAATGCCGGAACCAGAGGACCATGTTCTGCTGGGACTGCGGCCGCCAAGGCAAACGCACTGTCGAGTGCAAGGGCAAGGGCCTCGAGTATCAGGGAGTCACCCGAGGAACCCACAGAACTCCCGCACCCAGTAACCAACGCCATCCAACAGGATCGGAACCGTATCCGCGCACAGATCACGGTCGAGGGACGCCCGCTCACCGCCACCTTGGATACGGGGGCCTCGCATAGTTTCATAAGCGAGCGCCTGGCAAGGGTACTCCACGATGGAAGGAATCATCGCGCCGTACGGACACGGGTGAAGTTAGCAGATGGAACCGGCAGGGAGCTCACGCAGGCCCTGCGAATCACAATCCAGCTGGGAAAGGCTCGGGTCAGCGTCTCCGCCCTCATCATGGCGGATGTGCTGGACGACCTCCTACTCGGTATGGACTTCCTGTGCTATGGTGGAGCCAAACTACAGTGTGGGGGCCTGACCCTCCAACTCGAGCCACCCATTCCTGATCAACCCACGAGGACCAGCTCGCCAGCACCAACCCGGAGCAAACGTGCCGCCACGCCGGCGCACACACCCGGCACCCAGGCGCACTCATCCGCACTCCTCAGCCGCCACCCAGGCGCAAACACAAGCCGCTCCACGGGCGCACAAACGTGCCGCCACGCCGGCGCACACACCCGACACCCAGGCGCACTCCTCAGCCGCCACCCGGGCGCAGACACAAGCCGCCCCACGGGCGCACTCCAAAGCCGCCACCCAGGCGCACCCATCCGCTCCACGAGCGCAAACACAAGCCGCCCCACGGGCGTACACCGAAGCCGCCACCTAGGCGCACTCATCGGCCGCCGCAACGCAGGCGCACACCCAGACCGCCACACAGGCGCACACCCAGGCCGCCGCAACGCAGGCGCACACCCAAGCCGACCCACGGGCGCAGGCACAAGCCGCCCCACGGGCGCAAAGACGAGCCGCCACCCAGGCGCACACTCAAGCCGCCCCACGGGCACAAGCACAAGCCGCCACCCAGGCGCACTCACCGGCCGCCGCAACGCAGGCGCACACCCAGGCCGCCACACAGACGCACACCCAGGCTGCTCCACGAGCACAGACGCAAGCCGCCACCCAGGCGCACCCCCAGGCCGCTCCACGAGCGCAGACGCAAGCCGCCCCACGGGCGCAGACACAAGCCGTCCCACGGGCGCAAAGACAAGCCGCCACCCAGGTCGCCCCACGAGTGCAAAGACGAGCCGCCCCACGGGCGCACACCGAAGCCGCCACACAGGCGCACCTACCAGCCGCCGCAACACAGGCGCACACCCAGGCCGCTCCACGAGCGCACACACAAGCCGCCACCCAGGCGCAGACACAAGCCGCCCCACGGGCGCAAACACAAGCCGCCCCACGGGCACACGCATCAGCCGCCCAGGCGCACTCACCGCAACGCCCTGAGGCGCAACACAGCGCCAGGTACACCAACGCGTGCACGGCCCCAAGCTGGGCCGGAGCACTGCCTACGCCTGATTCAGCAGCGGTTCAGCGAAACCCATTTCGCAAAGGGGCCAAGAGAGTCCGCTTCAGCGACCTGGAACCACCGCCTCCATCCTGCGGTATCGCTGACGCCGAGTACGACACCGAGGAGGAACCAAGATCCAGAGGCCACGAGGACAACTACCCGGAGCCTTGGATAAGGAAGTTTCTCGAACGAGAGCTGTCCCACTTCGACAACATCGCCAACGTCTCCCACATCGCCGAGCACAAGATCGTGATGCGCCACGATCGCCCTATCAAGCAACGATATCATCCACGGAATCCCGCGATGAGAGCCGTCATCGACCAACAGATCGACGAGCTTATCCGCGACGGACGCATAGAGCCTTTCAAGAGCCCCCATAGCGCGCCGATAGTCATCGCGGCAAAGAAGAATGGAGAGGCCAGGATGTGCATCGACTACAGACAGTTGAACGATAATTCGATCCCCGACGCTTACCCGCTGCCGCGGATCCACCACATTTTGGAGCGGCTGCGAAACGCCCGCTATATATCGACGTTGGACCTGAAGAATGGGTACTGGCAGATCCCAGTCGCCCCAGCCAGCCGCGAATGCACGGCATTCACCGTCCCGGGCCGCGGACTATTTCACTGGAAGGTGATGCCTTTCGGGCTTCACTCGGCTCCGGCCACATTTCAACGGGCGCTGGACACCGTCATCGGTCCCGACATGGAGCCACACGCTTTCGCCTACTTGGACGACATCATCGTCGTCGGGGCCACACTCTCCGAGCACGTACGGAACTTACGCGAGGTATTCCGACGGCTCCGGGAGGCCAATCTCCGTCTCAACCGAGACAAGTGCCAGTTCTTCCAGCGGAGTATCTTGGCCACGTAATCAGCGAGGCCGGGATACAGACCGACCCCGACAAGGTCGCAGCCATCCGGGAACTGACCCCACCCCCGAACCTGAAGGCGCTTCGCCGATGCCTCGGTATAGCGTCTTGGTACAGACGCTTTGTGCCGAACTTCGCGGACGTGGTCGAGCCAATGACCTCGCTACTCAAGAAGGATCAAAGCTGGAGATGGGCAGAGAAACAGGAACAGGCGTTCCAGAAGTTGAAGGACCTACTCACGGAGGCACCGATTCTGGCGTGCCCGGATTTCAAGGAGAAATTCGTACTTCAAACCGACGCAAGCGAATACGGCGTGGGAGCCGTACTCACCCAGACCATCGACCAGCAGGAGCGTGTAATCGCCTACGCCAGCCGCCGGCTAAATACCGCCGAGCGCAACTACTCTGTCACAGAAAAAGAATGCCTCGCGATAGTTTGGGCCATCCGTAAGATGCTCTGCTATCTCGAAGGATATCGCTTCGAGGTGCTCACCGACCACCACTTGCTAAAGTGGTTGAACTCCATCGACAACCCCACGGGCAGGATCGCTCGGTGGGTATTGGAGTTACAGCAGTTCCAGTATGACGTGACATACCGACGCGGAACCCAGAACCTGGTCGCAGACGCACTGTCGCGCCAGCCTCTGGCCACCATGCAGCAGGCACAAGTTCAGGACAACGGTTGTAAGTGGATTAGAAAAATACTACAAAGGGTCCGGCAGGAGCCGGCCAAGTATCCGGATTTTCGAGAGGAGAACGGACAACTCTACAAACGCATCGGGCTGCGCCCGGAGGATGAGGAATACACCCCCTGGAAGCTATGCGTGGGCACCCACGACCGCGCGAGAGTGCTGACGGAATGCCACGACCACCCCACCGCAGGCCACCTGGGCGTGCGGAAAACAAGCACACGAGTCGCCCAGAAATACTACTGGCCCGGATTATTCCGAGAAGTAGCCAAATACGTACGACGATGCACAAGCCGCCAGAAGTTTAAGGTAAGCCAAGAAAAACCGGCCGGGAAAATGTTCACCCGCCAGGTCGACGAACCTTTCCACATACTATGTGCGGACTTCCAACGAAGGACCTCCCTCCCACGTTCCAAGCAAGGGAACACAGTCTTACTGGTGTTCCTCGACTCATTCAGCAAGTGGGTGGAACTCGACCCACTGCGACGGGCCACCGTACCATATCTCGAACGGGCGTTTCGAGAACGGATTCTGAGTCGCTTCGGAGTCCCGAAGACTCTGGTATGCGACAACGGGACCCAGTTCACCAGCTGAGATTTCCGGACATTTTTCAAATCGCTAGGAATGGAACTGCAGCATACCGCGCCGTACACGCCCCGCCAAAATCCTACGGAGAGGGCGAACCGGACCGTGAAAACTATGATCGCGCAATACCTGGGCGACGCGCCGCAGAACACCTGGGACCAACTCCTGCCGGAAATCTCGCTGGCAGTCAACAGCAGCGTGTCAGACACAACAGGATTCAGCCCCGCCTTTCTGGTACAAGGCCGGGAACCACGCCTACCCAACGCACTTTACGATGAAGTCACCCCCGGGCGAGGAACCCCCTGATTCCCCCTGCGGAGAGGAGCGAGCAGCTGCACAGCATATTTAAAGTTGCCCGCGACAATGCCGAGCGTGCCACGGCCGAGCAAGGCCGGCACTACAATTTGCGACGACGAGAATGGAAGCCACCATTGGGCTCCCTCGTTCTCGCCCGCCATCATGTGCTATCAAACGCCGCCGAGGGCTTCGCGGCCAAACTGGCTGCAAAATATGAAGGCCCGTTCCGAGTGATCAAGTTCCTTTCGCCGAACATCGTCCGGCTGCAAGATATCGGGAGTCGCCGCCGCCGCACGGCCAGCATAAACAATCTAAAAGCATATCATCAAAGCAACGAAGACGACGACGGACACCAAGACGAGGACAGCCTCAGCATCACCCCAGTCCACGACGACCATGACGCTCGTGACCAACCAGACCATCCGAGTCGGCACTCTGACGCTGACCCTGATCCTAAGGGAATATAGGAGAGCAGGAGCACAGGATAGGCGCCACCCTCCAGCAGACGGCAGAGAGAAAACAAAACCAAAACAAAGAGAGGGGGTGGGCACTACTAATACACTTGTTTACTCTTTCATAGATCCCACACATTCGTTTATGGAGTTGCCAGATCGCCAGGAAAGCAACTCCGATACACACGGGACGCCACACTATCGAGAATCGATAAGTACAGCGCGAAACCAAGTCTTCAAACGACGCAATTTAAAACCAAAAGCAAGACGCCAAAATGCCACGAGAGCACCACCAAAGATCACGACGCCGCCATTCGCACCACTCAAGAGACGAGCGACGCCACCACCACCGGCACCGGCGCGACAGGCACGCCACGCGGGACTCAAGCGAGAACCCGGACACCGCGGCTCCAGCCGCCAGACGAGGAGGTCTCCGATGCTGAGGTGGTGACCCTCAGCTCGGGCGACGAGGAGCCACGGGGTTCGGCGGCGGCGACGATCGTCCTCTCCGACGGGGATACTAGCGGAGCGGAAACGCTGCCCCGGACGCCACCGCGCGAGGAGACGCCACCGCCCTCTTACGAGGAGCTGTTCGGGCCGGGTCCATACCCGGAACCCGATCTTTCAGCCTCAGCCGGGGTCAGCACCGCCGCCACCATGACGCTGCAGGCCACCGACGCCGCTGCCACGGAGCAAACCACCCCCACGCCTTACATCGCTGCCAACACTGACGCAGCAGCAGCCCGGGCGGGAGCCAGCACCCCCACGGGGAACGGCATACTACAGCTGCTCCTGGGGAAGCTGACCGCGTCCCCCGACGGACCCACAACATCCGCCGCTTCCCAGCAGCGGGAGGCAGTGCGGGCAGCCGTGCGGACCATCCTGGCGGCGATCCCCACGGCAGGAGCCGTCACTCAGCCGGACGCCGTCACCCAGCCGGACGCCGCCACTCAGCCAGACGCCGCCATCCAGTTGGACGCCGCCACTCAGCCGGACGCCGCCATCCAGTTGGACGCCGCCATCCAGTTGGACGCCGCCACTCAGCCGGACGCTGCCACCTAGTCGGACGTCGCCACTCAGCCGGACGCCATCACCGTGGCACGCGCACCAACGCCGCCGGATGGCACCGTGGTCGTCGCGGCAGTGGCCGCCGTTTTACCGCCCAAGCCCTTGCGGCAGGTAAGGCCGATCCCGGCCACCGACCAGCAGCGCTGGCGTTGCCGCCAGCCCCCGGCCAACCCCGTCGCCGAGCCAGCCGGCCGCCCGGGCATTTTACGGCGCCGCCCGGCCCCATGGCTCATAGAGGAGATCGATACGGAGGAGGACACTGAGGAGGGGACCGACACCGGGGAGGAGTCCCTCCCAGACGAGCTGTTGATGCAGGGCGCCCAAGTGCGCGCCCACGATGGGTGGATCACCACCGATGGCTGGATCCCCTATGCCCTGCTGGGGCAGATAAATCAGCATTTGCGCCAGCCGAGACGCCGGGAGGTCCGGTACTTGGAGGAAGCAGCCGACGTTCGCTACCGGATCCAGATCACCCCAGGCGGCCGGGTAAAGGTCCTCCCACACCCCCGAGGAAGGCATGGGGTGTGAGGTAACCCTCACAAGGGCCCCCTTTCCCCCCCACCGTATGTAAATATTAGTTAGGCAAAGCTATAAGATAGGAGTTAGGGACTTAGGTTAAGGAGTTAGTAAGACCCATGAAGGGCACCTGTTTTAAGTTAGTTTTAAGGCCCATGAAGGGCATTCCTTTTCCTTAGTTAGACCTACGGGCGAGCACCCGTACATACGTTGCCCGGCGGGCGCACTCGCCACACCGCCCCGGCAACATCGCCGCTAACACCTGCCCCATCCCCGGGCACACCAGCAACACCCATCGGCAACATTGCCGACATCATCGCCAGCAACACACCCATCGGCAACATTGCCGACATCATCGCCAGCAACACGCTCCGGCATCAATGCCGACACAACGCCAGCAACACCACCGGGACCATCACCGGCAACATCGCCAGCAACACCACCGGGAACACCACCGGGATCATCACCGGCAACATTGCCGACACCATCTCTCCAAACTTACGCTCTCGGCAGCCGACAACCGGCAGAGCCGACGGCCGAACCAGGAGAGCCACGCACGAGAGGAGAGGAGCAGGATCGCGCAGAGAGACGCGGGTGCAGGGAAGCTGCAGAGAAAGCAGGACGACGACAACTGCACGGAGGCAGCGTAAGGGGCGCTGCCGCGGTCGGCAGCAGCAGCGAGAGCTTCGAACAGCATCCGCTGTTCGCCGATCGAGAGTCGCTTTTCAGCTGGAGAAGGAGTAAGACGTGAAATTCGGAACGAGCAAGACGCAAACGTGGAATAGCAATACCAAGCGACCAGAGCACGTGGACATGGAGTCCGAGGAGTAAACGGGTGAGCCGGCTGTGGGCCATCCCTACACAGGATGTGCGCGTAGGGTAGTAGGGACAGTTAGGTTTGGCATATATTATAATAAACTATAAAAGAACATAAACCACAATCGGCTTGAAGTTATTCTCAGTAAGGGCGGTCTCCGGGTGACGGAGCCGCCCCTTTCTCCCCATATCCTTCCCCCCTCGTATTTAGGAGCACCGGCCACCGGATGACGGGGCCGGCTAACCGATCCCGGGTGACGGGATCGGCCGCTCATATCCTCCCCCCCTTGCAATTAGGAGCACCGGCACCCGGATGACGGGGCCGGCCAACCGATTCCCGGGTGACGGGATCGGCCGCTCCTACCCCTTCCCTCGTAGTTCGAGCACCGGCCACCGGCTGACGGGGCCGGCTAACCGATTCCCGGGTGACGGGATCGGCCGCTCACTACCTCCCTCTCCTTGGAGCACCAGCAACCGGTTGACGGGGCTGGCAAGCCGATTCCCGGGTGACGGGATCGGCCGCTCATAACCCTCCACCCCTAGTAGGGCTCCGGCACCTGGTTGACGGGGCCGGACAGCCGACTCCCGGTTGACGGGATCGGTCGCCCTTGGCCTGCCCAGGTCCGCTGGTCGCCCGGTTGACGGGCCCGTGATTAGCATCCTTACAGGATCTCCAATTATCCTACTTCGAAATTTGAACCCGCCCTGACTGTGCAACGGTACGCGATTAGTTATTAAAAAATTAATAAACAACGTGATCGAAGCCAGCATGTTAAATGGAAAGTTCAGAGGTGAAAATATACTAATACCAAGGATTCCTATTATACTTGATGCGCCAATTCAATTCAAACGAATTGAGTTTCCGATTAGATTGGCATTTGCAATGACTATCAACAAATCCCAAGGTCAAACGATGTCTATTTGTGGCTTAGATTTAAGAACACCATGTTTTTCACACGGACAATTATACGTGGCATGCTCTCGAGTGGGTAAATCATCCAGTTTGTTTGTATTAGCAAAAGATGGACTCACAAAAAATATTGTTCACGCTATAGCATTAAGAGACTGGTATTATTTAATAGTGTTATAAATTATAATAACTTATTAAAAATGATGTTTGCTTTTTGTTATTTTTATATTCCCTCATGGTTTATAGCGCTCCAGATGATTTTATAATACATAAGTCTAGAACTGAGTAAATTTTGTAGAGAAATTATAAAGTCATCTGGTGGCAAAACAACGTTTGCCGGGTCAGCTAGTTTATATATATATTTTTCGATCTTTTCTATGGGATTTCACCAAATAGAACTTGAAAAAACCTCAAGAGACATAACTTCCTTTTCAACGAGCAATGGCTCGTATCGATTCACGCGATTACCTTCGGTTTAAAAATAGCGCCCAATTCATTTCAGAGAATGATGACCAGGGCTAACAGAGTTATGTTTTTAAATGAAAAAATATTTATTTCCATATTTTCGCCTTTTTTCCTATAAATCCATATTTTACACAATCACTTGAATAAATCCATATTTTGAGCATTAAGAGCTTAAATATTATGAAATTTCTGTCGTTTGCCTTATACTCATCGATTACTTATCGATTAATTTTATTAATTTGCATTAATGGTATTCCTTATTGTCTAACGATAGGTTGTATTCCGTATTTGCCTATATTATTACATCGAATCTTATGTAGTGTTGTTAGTTTCCGTTACTTTCAAGTTTTACTTAATCATGCCGAAAACACAAAAAGAAAGTACACGCGCGTTTTTGACGCGAATGCTACGCGAATATCCACATGTTTTTCGTGCAGATGAATCCGTTTTATTTTGTAAATTCTGTGAAGTGAAAATCAACGCCA